GTGAATGATGTTATGTACGCGTTTATAGGAAATGTTTAGGACCTTTATTAACTCGTAGAACTTAATTTGACGATCTACCATAATCATGTCATCGACTTTGTTGATCATTTCCGGCGTGCTGACTTTATTTGGCCTCCCGGTACACTCATCATCAAAAACACTCGTACGACCACGAACAAATTTAGCCTTTTAAAATTTTACTCTTGCTAACGAAAGTGCAATCTCATCATAAACTTTGTTTAGGACGGCTTTGATTTGCACACTATTTTACCCTTTTTGTGGAGGAACTTAAGCACCGAACGATGATCGACTTTTTCTATTTCTCCGAAAACACAAAATTTGCTTGCTTTTGACGGCTGTAAAAACCAATTTAATTGTTTTTAAAACTTAAAATTTTGACAGACGTCATGTCATGAATGACAAATGTCAACACCGAAACCAATTCGGTATCAAGTAGCGCCATCTATCAAAAGCTAGTTTAATATCAATATATTCTCGTACATTTAACTTACTGGTCCAAATCAGTAACTAACAATTAAGGTAATAATAAAATTAAAAATGAATGAAAAATGTCAGGCAGGTGCTAAACATATGACTTTCACAGTTTCACAAAAAGATTATGTTAAATTAATTTTAAACAGTTAAATAGTGAAACGACCTTGACTAGCTTGATCTACCACGGTAGAATAATCCTAACGAGTTTCTGCAATTATCTGCGATTGAAGAGAATCCAGCTGGTTCGTTTATTATTTGTTATAAGGTCATCGGTAAATCTCTACATAACCACACCACAAATATAAACAATTATGAAATGCAACATCAATTTTATGATTACTTTGTAATATGCAGTACATTTTTAATTTACATGAAAATATTGGTATTGTAGATCTTTGTTTACGTAATTCTTTTTGGTTTTTCGCTTGGTTTTTTCCCATAATCGCCGTAAAGCAGCAGTTATTTTTTAATTATACCATTATTATTATAAATAAACCATATTTTATGTGAAGTTTAATGAACATATATTTTAATTATTTATTGCTAGGACAAGTCGAGTTTATTTTACTTTAACGTAATAGAAATAAAACAAACTGAAAGCTTAATTTTAATCGTTCAAAAATTATCTTTGTTGTTTTAAAGACGTTCGGATTTCTTTAAAATAATTTTTCTTCCTTTGCTAAAATACGCTTTCAAAAAAGTATTAGTAATTTACGTCTTAGGAGGTCTAAGTGTCTGAAGAGCTTACAAATGAGCCCTACTTTTATTTACTATAAATATATACAATATTATTTTTAAAAGGCTGCCAGTTTGGAAACCAAAACCGCCAATATAAAAGTTATTACGAAGTTGTGGTTTATTTGGAACAAGATTTTATCTCTTGAAGTGTTTCCATCTTGGCTTGACCAAAAGAGTTTGAAGCAAATATTCTCGTTGGAATATTTTAACGATGTTAATGATTTAACTCTATGTCGTCATGTTAACAGAATCACGGTGCTTTGACTTAGTCCACCAAATAGACTCTCAAACTGCAAAATAGGTTGCCATGGTTGACATGTCGAAACATCCCGTTTTTTTAGTGCCACGGGGAAAAAGGATAGGATAAAAGTTAAATTTTATATATGTATTAGACAATTCTTGGTTTGTTTGTATAGGTGTAAATCTCAAATTTTGGAGAGAGTACTTATCATAATAACGGCTTTTGATTTTTGTATATATTGTACGATGTAACCGTTATTTCAACTTGCTTGAATTTTTCTATATGTATTAAGAAATCGTTATTTTATTTAATTAAATCTTATAAGAGATACTGGTTAATTAAAAAAATAATCCTTATTTTTTCTGTTGCAGAAAATTCCTTACCCTAAATCAGTATTTTTTATAGTCAGCAACGAATTTTGCGAACGATTCAGCTACTATGGCATGCGAAGTAAGTATATTTAAAAACTTAACTAATGTAAATAGGCTACAATATAAATATGTATAACTTTAATAATGGGCGACTTTAACGCCAAAGTCGGTAAAGGGAAAGTAGAAGATGTCGTAGGGAATTATGGTCTAGGAATTAGAAATGAAAGAGGAGACCAATTAGTAAAATATTGTCAAGAGAAAGAACTAGTCGTCACAAACAACTTTTATCAATTACCACCAAGAAGACTCTATACTTGGAGTGCAACAGGAGACAACAATAATAATCTGATAAGAAACCAAATCGATTACATTCTTGTCAACAAAAGATTTAGAAATTGAATTAAAAGCGTTAAAACATATACTAGTGCTAATGCAGACTCCGACCACAATCTACTTCTTGCCAACATTAATATTAGACTGGGAAAACAACAGAAAAAAAGTAAAATTCAGAGACTAGATTTGTCAAAGCTTGAGGGTGAAAAATGTCAACAACAAATAAATGAAGCAGTTGCACCAGCATTCGCAGAGGCGCCAAAAAAGATATTAATAGTGCCTGAAACGAAATTAAATCGGCAGTACTTAACGCTGGTAAAATGTTTGTGGGTAAAAAAGAACCAATTGCCAAAAAAGACTGTATGACACCAGATATTATAAAACCTCATAAAAGAAAAACGAAAATACAAAAATACAAATAAAGAGAAGTACAAGCAACTGAAAAAACTAGTAGAAACGCAGATCAAGGAAGCTAAAGAGCACTAGATGGTAGAAAATTGTAGAGAAATATAAGAACTTAATATGAAATACGACACACATGGGCTACATAAGAAACTAAAAGAAATTACAGGAAATAATCGGAAGAGAATACCACAAGTTATACGAAACTCCAAGGGGGATCTCTAATTATCAGCAGTAGAAAAACAACAAAATTGGGAGAAATACTTTAAGGACTTATTCGCAGATAATAGGGAAGAAATAAATAATACATTACCAACTAATGAAAATCTAAAAATGCTGATATCAAAGGTTAAACAGGCAATTAAAATCTCAAAAAGTGGTAAAGCGCGAGGTCCCGATGAAATTCCTGTAGAGATATTAAAAATCCTGAATGATGAAAATATAGAGTGTCTAACTAAATTATTTAATAAAATATACCACGATGGTCAAATCCCGGATGAATGCTTAAAATCTTTTTTTTTACCCTTACCCAAGAAAAATAATCCTAAATCTTGCGATGAGTACCGATTAATTAGGATTATGAGCCACACTTTAAAAATACTACTCAAAGTTATTCAGCAGCGTATATATAAAAAATGTGAAGAACAATTAGACAATACACAGTTTGAATTTAGATGTGGAATGGGAACAAGAGAGGCACTGTGCGCAATGACGGTACTATTACAAAAATGCAGGGAATATAATAAAAACGTATTCATATGTTATATAGATTTCCAAAAAGCTTTTGATAGAGTCCAACATGATAAACTCATACGTGCATTGAAACACATACACCTAGATCCCAAGGATATTAATTTAGTCAAAAATCTGTACTACAATCAAACAGCGGTCGTACGGGTAGAAGATAGTGAGACAAACCAGGTGGAAAGTCAAAGAGGAGTCAGACAGGGATGTGTGATGTCGCTACAATTATTTAATGTGTACTCCCAACTAATATTTCAGGAGGCACTATGGAAAGAACTGAAGGTGTAAGGATTGGAGGGAGCATCATTAATAACATAAGATTTGCAGACGATACCGCAATCATGACAGAGAATATAGGCGATTTACAAACTCTCCTGGAAATCATTAACAGAGAAAGCAAAAAGATGGGACTAACAATCAATATAAATAAAACCAAATACATGGTGATATCAAAAAACCCTGTTGACAACATACAACTGAGGGTAAACCCCTACAGAGAGTCGACAAATATAAATACCTCGGAGCAGTTATAAACTCACAGTTAGATCAAGAGCAGGAGATAAAGGTCAGAATAGAAATAGCTCGAAAAGGCTTTATAAAATACAAGTCAATGTTTACAAATAAGAAATTGAGTATGGCCATCAGATTGAGGTTCGTCGAATGTTACGTTTGGTCGCAACTACTATATGGGGTAGAAGCTTGGACTCTGAAAGCCCAAATTATAAAAAATTTGAGGCATTCGAAATGTGGCTATATAGGCGTATTTTGAAGATTCCTTGGACTGCAAAAGTCTCAAATGAGGAAGTGTTAAGACGAGTTGGACATGGCAGAAAGCTTATGAACACAATTAAAATAAGAAAAACATCGTATCTGGGCCACATACTCCGAAACGATAAATACTCTGCTATAAGTCATCATGCAAGGTAGAGTAGAGAGAAGAAAAGGCTTGGGAAGAAAGAAGAAATCTTGGCTGAGGAATATCAGAGATTGGACTAACCTCAGTGTTGAACAGATATTTCACGTTGCAAAAGATCGAGAAGCGTTTAAAGAAGTGATCGCCAACCTTCGTTAGAAGACGACACAAGAAGAAGAAGATAGCTTAAATACAATCCAATAAAAAAATAATCTACCAGAATAATTTTTGAAAAAACGACTAGTTCTGATCACTGTCTGAACCTTAATAAATGGTCTATAGTAACTTCGAGTTATATTGGCTTTTTAGTGTGCTCTAGCAAGGTGTTATTTCAGGTGATTTTAAGTTTCCTTTTGGATAGTCTGGACTGAAGGTGGAAAGCGCACACCTAAGTTTTGATTGGATTTGCTCTTACCGAATTTTCTTTATTGAACATCATAATTGAACATCAAATTCAGGGCAGCGTCCAATTTTTGTTCGATCTCTTCAAACCTTAAACTTTGGGCTATGACACCTAAGTCGTCTGCGTATAAGAAGTGTCTAGTATTTAAAAGCTGTCCTTAGTTGATCATTGGTGTACAAGTTAAAAGGTATAGTTGCTAGTACGCTACCCTGAGCCAAGCCGGTTTTTTTGGGTTCGCCGGCATTTTTTTCCTCACGGCTCACGTAGAATCGGTTATTTTGCAGTAGTAATTCCACTCTTATGACGATTTGCAGGTCTAAAATCAGCTTGCTGGATAAGTCTTTCGTATAGCTTATAGAGGTGGCAGAGAAGCGATATAAGGCAGTAACTCTGGCGTTTCTAGGGTTTTCCTAGGTTTTAGTATAGCTATGACTTTTGCTTTTCTCCAAAGTTTTGGTATTTGAAATGTCGTTCGGCAGTGTTTGAACAAGCAATGGATCCAGATTTTTGCCACAGTGTCAAAATGTTTAATTTGCTCCTGGGATATAATATCGTCTTCTGCAACTTTCCTATTAGTGGATTTAGCTCTTTATTTGGTTCTTTTGTGGTAAACGTTGTGACAAAGCACTATAAGTATACAATCTTCTGGAAGGTAATTTAAAATAGATATTCATGATTGTATAGTATATTGCCTAAAAAAATTCCATTAGTCGTTCTTCTCTTTTTGTTTTACTACCAGTCCAAAACCTCCCGTCACTTGTTCAATATATTTTTATCCAACATTGATATGATATGAATCCCATAATATTTACATATTACTTTGTTTGATGGTGTTTTTAAGTTTTTCTTAAATTTCTTTACATTGGCTTCACCACTTTCGGCTTTTAGTGCACATGCCTGTACGGCAATTGGACTTTCGTTAGAGTGAAATGCGACCTAAAGTTAGTAAAGTATAAAATCTTTTTGATATAACAATTCAGCTCTGTACCAGTGCGTTTTAGTCATTTTTTTTTAATTCGTTAAATGTATTTCTACACTTTATGGTTGTAAGTTAGTTTTTTACGTGCAGTGTTGACGTATCGTATCGTATCGTACGTATCGAGCTTGGTAGTAGTTTTTATTCTTTCTTTTATTTGTAAATTAAACTTTTTCGCATTATAATATCACAAATGCTACTACATAGACACATTCAAGCTACGATTTTAACAACATTTTAATGTATTGACCACAGTTACCAAGGGAATGGTGTGTTTGTTTAACTCCTTTTATACTTCACTTACCATTCATTGAACTGATGAAGCTTGTGAACTCCACAAGCGAAATGTCTTCAAATATAGAAATAGAACTGTGATTTCCCTGTATTACTTCTCCTCTGACCGATATCCTCGAGATCAAAAGATTTATTTCTTTTGAAACCTACTTTATTAAATATTTGTTTGACGGTCGTACTCCTTTATATATATATATATATATATATATATATATATATATATATATATTATATATATATATATATATATATATACATATATATATATATGTATATATATATATATATATATATATTATATATATATATATAGAGTGTGTTATAACGACGCTAAGAATACAATTCTTTGGAGGGTAACTTCAAAACAAGGATCAGCTAGAGATGGTATAAGCCAGCTTGGTGTAGAACTTTATTCTAAATGTGAAATTTTCGGTGATATGTTGTCACCTTCATCAGCACCTAAATGGAAAACCTATTATAGTACAGTGGTGGAAATCAACATTTAAAAACCTACATTGAAAATGTTCAGTTGGTCCTAGTTGTAAAGAACACTGTCACAAACATGTTAAAAATATTAAAAAATACATTTAAAATTTTGAATAAAAACATTACAACACAAACAGGGTAGTTTTTCAAATACAAACACAACAAAAAGTCTAAAATTTACAACCTACAAAAACTGCAAATAGAAAAGAAGAATTAATCTTCTTTTTTGATGACATATTTCTGTCAACATCCGGGTGTCATATGTAACGAGGTTATAATTTTCACTTTTGCACCTCACACACAACCACATGGATACGAAAAGAAAGAGCCCTAGGCAACATAATAAGCAAGGAAATGAAGTCCCCTCTAAAGCACAGGTAGGTAATCTATGCATGTCATGATAAGTTCCCCACATTTTCCAGTTTGTTACTTCTTGTCAAGTCCTGTTGAAGTAGAAAGGAATAAATACAACTTAAGTTTTCAACATCTTTCTTACAGTTCATAGGAGAGCTGCAGTTATGGATGTAGCACATTTCTATGAAGTTTCTCTTAAATTGGTTGTCAACCCTCTTAAGTACTTGCACATTTTCATAGTTAGCAGTGTGTCCAGTATTCTTAATATGTTGGCTAAAGGCTGTGCTGGTGGGCTTCCTCACAACATCACTCCTGTGCAAAGCTATTCTTTTTGAGAGTTTCTGGCTGGTTTGACCGACATACACTTCTGAACAAGAACCACATGGAATAGAATACACTACATTGAAGTTATCCAGTTTTTTAACTCTTTCTGTCAGGTGAGTAAAGTATGTCCCTAATCTTTTGTAAACAGAATTTGCTATCACTATGTTGAACTGTCTGAAATCTTTACAAAAGATTAGGGACATACTTTACTCACCTGACAGAAAGAGTTAAAAAACTGGATAACTTCAATGTAGTGTATTCTATTCCATGTGGTTCTTGTTCAGAAGTGTATGTCGGTCAAACCAGCCAGAAACTCTCAAAAAGAATAGCTTTGCACAGGAGCGATGTTGTGAGGAAGCCCACCAGCACAGCCTTTAGCCAACATATTAAGAATACTGGACACACTGCTAACTATGAAAATGTGCAAGTACTAAAGAGGGTTGACAACCAATTTAAGAGAAACTTCATAGAAATGTGCTACATCCATAACTGCAGCTCTCCTATGAACTGTAAGAAAGATGTTGAAAACTTAAGTTGTATTTATTCCTTTCTACTTCAACAGGACTTGACAAGAAGTAACAAACTGGAAAATGTGGGGAACTTATCATGACATGCATAGATTACCTACCTGTGCTTTAGAGGGGACTTCATTTCCTTGCTTATTATGTTGCCTAGGGCTCTTTCTTTTCGTATCCATGTGGTTGTGTGTGAGGTGCAAAAGTGAAAATTATAACCTCGTTACATATGACACCCGGATGTTGACAGAAATATGTCATCAAAAAAGAAGATTAATTCTTCTTTTCTATTTGCAGTTTTTGTAGGTTGTAAATTTTAGACTTTTTGTTGTGTTTGTATTTGAAAAACTACCCTGTTTGTGTTGTAATGTTTTTATTCAAAATTTTAAATGTATTTTTTAATATTTTTAACATGTTTGTGACAGTGTTCTTTACAACTAGGACCAACTGAACATTTTCAATGTAGGTTTTTAAATGTTGATTTCCACCACTGTACTATAATAGGTTTTCCATTTAGGTGCTGATGAAGGTGACAACATATCACCGAAAATTTCACATTTAGAATAAAGTTCTACACCAAGCTGGCTTATACCATCTCTAGCTGATCCTTGTTTTGACGCTTTCCCGAAAGTTACCCTCCAAAGAATTATATATATATATATATATATATTTATATATATATATATATATATATATATATGTAGGTCTAGTTCCATCTCTTTTATTTTATTTGCCGCTTTTACAGCTTGATACATTCTTCGGACAGTCCAAATGCCAATTCTCTTTTTTAGTTCATTTTAATGACATCATTGGACGATTCTTAGCACCCTCTCACTTAAGGACACCCGGAACTAAGATCTATTACTGGGTTTTGCGTTTCCATTTGCTGACGTAAAAAACGCTAGGCTAAAATAAGAATAAAAGCTACTTATCTACACATATTCTATTACAATGCCTGTGAGAAATTAGTTTTAATTCTGGAGAAGACTGAAGTGAAAGCATATAAGGAATATTACCCATATTACCGCGGCAAATTGACTAATAATTTTGACGTTAAAGAATTAAAAAAATTGCATAGTTTCATAATAAACAATAATCATTTAACTCAACATATTAAGCGACTTAATGTTTCGTGACCACAGTAAAAAAATATTAACTAGATACTTACTGCCTTAGCTAAATTAACATTACCGAGTTTGTAGTCCAACAATACTTGATTGTCACTGATTTGCATGAAATGTATATTTAATATTTAAAAAAATTGTAGCCGAATTATGTAAACTATTTTATTATTATTGAAAATATTTAAAATTTACCTTAAAATTTAATATATTTTTTCTTTTCTAGCGATCCTCATCCTTTATCTCACGAATATACTGCTGTTTAGTGAATCACAATCGTTAGTAACTTACCATACGTTTTCCATGTGTGTATATTTTTTCCCATAATTGGTGCCATAATTTCAGACAGTTTTTTAGGAAAATTTAATACAATCTTTTATGTTTCGATGATATATGCTAGTGGAAGTATTCTACTTGCACTAACAGCTAGTGATCCCATAGGGTTACCTAAAGTTGTAAGTATTTATGTTTCATACTTCTCTAAAAAAATTGCTATAAAATTTTTGCAATATTTAAATTTAATACAGTTTAAAGCAGTCATTTTATTGCATTTAAAGCAGTGCAATTGCACTGTTTTATTCAAAAAAGTGACAGCGCCTTAAATTCGTACGATTAATTGCTGCAGATTGTAAAGGAAAGTGCTTTAACTATTAAAGATAGCCTGTATTTAATTGCCATGGAGTCATGGAGCATTGGCATTGAGCACATGTTTTAAATAGTAACTGCTGTGAATATGTTTGAGGCTGGTCTTTCACAGGCTTTTTGACACATCATTTCACATCATTTTGACGTGCCTCGGGGTGTGATTTCGCGATTGTAGCGTCGATATAAATAATTAGGTAATGTCACTGAAACACATTAACATCATCAATCTACAACTATTCCTTGACAGGATCGGTATGTGGTAGGATTAGCTCGTCAAAATGTGCATATAACTGCACTTGAACTGAGTGGGTCCTTAGGAAATACCCACAATATTCCTGTATGTTATCAAACTTTAAACAAACAATAGATTGCATAAAGCTGGTTTGCACGCCAGACATTCATTAAATGTTCCATGGTACGTCATGGAAATCGTAAACCTCAGATTAAGGTGATAACAACAACACGTGGATTAGAGCTTATAAGAATGGAGTTATGTCATAAAGCTAGGTTTTATCCCTATACTGATACAAGAAGAGCAAGAATTTAAAGAGGACCTGGTTTACAAAAGAGTCACAGGAATGTACAAGGTGTTTGTCCCTATAGTGGTCTACAAGTTATAATGTGAGCTGAAATAATTTTTCATCATTGAACTTTACACTTTTTTGTGGAAGGCACTTTGAATCAATATTGATGGTATCTTAGAACCTGGAGTCCTTTCATTTGCCACTGTTGGAAGTCCTGATTTGCGTTACATGCAGGATAATGCAAGGCCACATACTGCAGCAACAGTAATTTTATAATGGGAATATTACATTTTTACGGTGGTTTTCGTCAGATCATAGTCTCATCAATTGTGTATAGGATATACTTCAGGGACAGAATACTCCTCATCTGTACTATAGTTATATAGACAAGGATTTCAAGATCTGCTTACACAGGAATCATCCTATTGCTTCAAAACGAAATGAATAATTGCATTTGAAATTAATAATTGAATTTTAATAATTCCAAGGTAGTGTCACGCTATAATTGCTACTGGAGAAAACACAGATAATAAAAAAATTTTAATTTTAACTATTTATGTTTTATATTGACTTTTAAGTTAAAAATGTCCATTAAATTAGTGCACAGTTTTACTTAAGTTTGATTATTTCATCATAGAGAAACCATATTTACCCAAAATAAGATAAGTTCATTGCTGACTAATGAGGCATTCTAACGGCATGTAATTTTTAAAATCCAATCAAAACTGATGTATAGATGAGAAAAAAAACTTATGCTCATTAGACATTTTTGATGTGTTTATGTGTTACATGATATATTATGACATAGGGAGTAAAGGTTTTAATATTGAGTCCTTGCCACAAATTAGACTGCCTAAAGCAGGTCCACCGTATCACTACGTAATATCTAGAATGAAAATCTAATAACTTCAGATTTGTTACACAAGCTGCTTTAAAGGGATCATTATATCCTAGTTGGTCTGGATAACAACCGATCCAAGCACTTGCGGAAGAATATTAGACGTATTAGAGGATAGAAGATATAATAAAGTATATCTTCGTATACATTTTTTTAGTATAAATGACAAATGAAACATCCAAGTTCCCAAAGATCTTAGTATCTCTTAGTAATGATAAATAATAATATCTCATCGTGAATAAAAAGCAAGTACTCATTTATATTAAATATGCAATTAGCAATTTTAACTTACTACAAAAGCAATGTAAAGAATTTAATATACGGAGCTATCTGTGCATTAAACAGTGTGAAACCCTTGCAAAACCCATTAAGACAAGGCATTATAAAAAGTACTGTGTTAATTTCTATCATAAATATATTCATTGACAACTTCGACATTGAATACAAGTACTCTTCACCAAAGAATTAAGATTTCGACTTCTAGGTTATGATAAGATGCTCTAGTACATGTTTAAAGAAGTTCCTGTGCATGACACTCTGTTGCAGTTGTTAAAGAGATCCACAGTTGTATCTGATGGTCTGATAAGTAACCTTCTTTGCTTATTGGGGAGCTGAGATGTCCAAAATCATTAGTTCTATTGACGTGTTGACGTTTGACGTGTTTTTAAAAATTAAAATTTAAGAAATAAAACCGCGAAGTAAACAAATAAAAGCTGGATAATTTATGGACTAACATTTTAACATCTTTTATAACGTCTGTTTGCTTGCAATTTTTAGAAGGCTCAGATTATAAAGCAGAAATCTGAATTGTTTCGAAACTATTTACGATTTTATATGGACTACTTCAGACTGCTACTGTCAGATTTTGATTTCGCGAATTTCGTAGTGGCCGTATATCGATATTAAAGGAATTACATACTGGATGGCCCTCAAATACAATTACACCGGAAAATGTGTAAAAAGTCTATGACATGGTTTTAACTGACCGTAAAATGAAGGCCATTTACCATTGACCAAAAACATGATCATATGACCACTTCTCAGCAGTGTTTGGATCTTATAAAGCTCCATCCAACTTTTGGCACCGATTGGTAATCTTTGAGAAAATCTGGATTCACTTCTATACACTAAAGAACGAAATTACCGCACGGCAGTAGACTGAAGCCGGCAAAATGCTCTGTAGCGACAAAGGTGGCTCAGTGGTTAAAACCATCAACAGCCAATATTATTGTGCATTATTGGACTAATTGCAGCACTAACTTAGTGAAAAATGGTTCCATTTGCAGAAGAAAAAGTTTTGTTTCTCAAAGACAATTCAACGGTTGATAAAACAAACGACTATTTTGTAGATCTTTCAGAATCGTATTATTGGGACGGTATAAAGAGTTGGTAAATCGCTGGAATCGGTGGACACATATTTTTCATTTAAAAGGAGGTTACTCATCAAACCATCAATTTTTATACGCTTTACAATAGTTTGGACTGACATGCGTATCGAAGGAACAACCAATATTTAGTAATCCAGGGAGCCTTTAACATTTAATGTTACATTGTAATGTAATAAAACGTAACTAAAATAACAAGTTATACCGACAAGTTATGGGGCAAATCAGAAATTCAATTGAAGCAAGATAACGAGAAACTTTGCACTGAAGCCATTATCATAAATCTAAAGTAAAGCTTAAACTTATAGCGCCCAATAAACGGAGAGGGACTAAGAGAATGGAACTAAGAAAGAAGGGCGACATTCTCCAAGAAATGCTAAAAGTGTACCCTCTATTGATAAGGGTATAAGAAAGGTCACAAGAAATATGGGAGACTATTAAACATTGTGTAACAACAACGTGTCATAGAATGGCAGGTTTGACAGGATCTGAATATTTCTTTTCATATAATATATACATATCTATATGTAAAAATACATTATGCTTTTTATTGTAACCTTAAAAATGTGATCAAATTTTAGGGTTTCTCAATATTGGGCCTATTACTCATAGCCATAGGCACCGGTGGTATTAAACCATGCGTTGCAGCGTTTGGAGGAGACCAATTTCGCCTACCCCAACAAGCGAAGGACCTAGAGAGGTTTTTCTCATTATTTTACTTCTCTATCAATGCTGGAAGTTTGATATCAACTTTTATAACTCCAATTTTAAGAAATGATGTACATTGTTTTGGTAATGAGAGCTGTTTTCCTTTGGCTTTCGCAGTTCCCGGAATTCTGATGGTAATTTCTATAGGTAAGACTTCTTATATGTTCATTGTTTAACTTAATAACGAATTTAACTTACAAACGAGTCTGTAATAAACCTAATAAACAAACATAATTTCAAAATAACGGAACCTTGTTAACAGAAAAATGATACTTTCCTGTATGGAAAAAAGAAACCTGATATCATCAATAAGTTTTGACGTTTTGTAATATGTGTATAATGTATAGTTTTTTTCTTGTTTTAGTCATCTTCGCCTCAGGACGACCAACGTATAAAATCAAAAAACCAGAGGGCAACGTTATAGTACAAGTTACAAAATGTATTGTGGTAAGTGTAATATTTTTAGAGATTCATTTTTAGTGTTATATTAGTTAAAAATATAGAAACATAAATATAAACTATAAAATATAAATATAAATAAAAAGCCTATATAAATATTTGCCTTAGTGAAATTAAAATTACCATAGGTGCAGAAAAATATTAAAATTATCTATAGACTGTAAAAGTCCCATGAGACATTCTTGGAATTCTAATGGATTATATATGGAGTAAGACATTAGCATAAAAACAAATAGCTACTATTGTATACCGAAACGTAAAAAGATAAAGTAAAAACCGACAACAGGTATTTAGAGAACTCTACAAATACTGCATTGATATTGTGATATCCAGCACAATAAAATAAACAGGACTGGAAAACAAAAATGACCAAAGAGTATGTAGCTGTTGCAGTAAATAATTTCAGAGAAAAGAACTTAATTGACTAAATAATTATTAGGCAACTTGGAGGAACCTTGAATAGCTGAAAAAATAATTTGCCGCCAAAACTGCCAATGGTTACGTTTCAGAGAATTGATTGTGCGATCCAACAGATGAACAGAAATGGGCTTAGAAAAGATCAGCAATACCAATTTTATTTCCTTCGAAATATCAAATCAGGAACCTCCAAAGAATATTTGACTCTACAGGGTTCTGGGCACCTAATTCGAGGTGATTGGGAAAAGCAAATAGAACTCTCAGATTGTAAGTAAGGAAAGAAAACCCCTCATTTGAACTTAAGAAACTAGTTTTATTTATATTGAAATCACACATCCCAATGTGGTTTAGTGTCAACACTTTTAGAACACAACTATTCTACCGAGCAATACAAACTACCAGGTATTTGCCAAAACATTTGCTTGATGTTATTGATCCTGTGATTGCCCACTCAGAACACGTGATGTGATCCATGACTCAAGATAACAAGAAACACATAAGAGAGCTCGGACTGCGAAGAATTCTGAATGGATAGACAGATGCAAGGAAGAAAATGTGTAAGAACATTTACGTCACCAAAAATCAACCTCAATGCACAAAAATACTATGGAATCATTAAGTGGATGGACTGTGAATTATGTTCTCCTCTTTTGTTGGCAGAAATTAGTGTTCGAACGAAACGAAATCAATTCGTACATCAATAGTGACTCAATCCCTGAGTGAAAAATTAGTTTCAAGCAATTCCCAGTTTCCACGAGGGCTATTAAACGTTGTGTAAAACTCACGGCAGCCTCGGGAAAAGTTTGTGCAGCTGAATCTTGAAACGGATTTATAAGAACCACTCTGCTGTTTAGATCATCCATGTCTATCTTCAATACCTCTAAAGTACTTTCGGCTACAAAATATAGAGCATTACAAATGGGCAAGCTAAACTAACATGGACTATTTATTCAGAACTCTGTTGTTTTATAAAAGTAAGTTTATTATTTATCGTCATCTTTGGCTCAACAATCCTCTGTGGATCTTAGCCTGCTCTAAGATTCGTCGCCATTCTGTTCGGTTTTTGGCAACATGTTGCCATCTTCTGATTTTTAATATTCGTAAGTCGGTTTCCACTCCATCTGACCAACTTATTCGCGGTCGGCCTTTGCTTCTTTTTCCTACAGGTGTTTCTGAGTTTGTATCCTCAAAATACAAACAGTAAATGTTTGTATTTTGAGAACGATTTCTGAAGTGGAAATTGAAACGTCAATAAACGTATTTTTACCTTTAATTGTGGCTTATTCTCAGTTAAATAGTAACTAATTTAAAATGCCGCAAGAAAATAGCTTCAGAACAATATATTCTAACTTGTACTCGACGGTTTAAAGATTATAAAGCTATTTGTAGAATTGCAATTCATTTAGTTGTTTTAAAAGAAATCCCAAAAATCACTAATTAAGGCATTTTTTAAACAAAAAAATGCAAATAACTCGAAAAAGAAGCATTTTTCGAAAAATTATCAAGAGAGAAAAAGTCTTTATTTTGATGAGATACACCTAAAAAAATTGATTCCGAAGCAATTCGGTAAAATTGCTTTTTTGTATAAGTTATTTGTTAATAACAATTGCCGGCCCACTTTTAAAAATTTTAAAAAAATACATTTCATCTTGGAAAAATATATAGAATCGAATAAACAAGTTTTGGTGCATTGGAAGTGCAAAAAGAATTTTAGTCGGTGTATTCTGTTTCTAAGCTTCTTTTGAGGGGTAAACCGCTCGCCTAGAAATATCTATTCTGCAGTTGATTCCATCGGCTGCTGCCGAGGCGCAGCTTCTCTATGCATAGCATCGTCCACGCTCCTAACACTTCGACTTTGTAGCATATAATGCAGTGTTGTTGTTTTGTAATACTTTACCTTTGTTTTACTTAACTGAAAGATATAGCAGTAACAATACAGTTGCTAGCAATATTTAAGAAATATTTATATGATCCTCAAACCATCATTTCTTGTATATTTTCTATACAAAATACTGTCGATATTTCTCACCTGCGAGTCGTCTGTCCTGACAGCTCATTCTTTTATAAATAAAAATAGATAAATTCTAGATAGTAATATATATTATATTATAAAACTGTTTGTGATTTTAGTGCGGAATAAAGAATAAGATGAAGTCCAAAGAGAAAAAGGAACATTGGCTTGATTATGCAGAAGAACGATATGGAGAAAAACTAGTAAACGAGGTTAAGGCAACACTCCATGTTTTGGTTCTCTTTCTTCCGCTGCCGATTTTCTGGGCTCTCTATGATCAGCAAGGATCAGGATGGACCTTGATGGCAGTGAGAATGGATGGAAACATTGGATTCTACACAATTTTGCCAGATCAGATGCAAGTCGTCAACCCATTGTTGATTTTGGCTTTTATTCCACTATTTACCTATTACGTTTATCCACTTCTAGGTAATTATTATACTGTGACCTAATTAAAAAATATTTTATATTTCGGTAAATGGTAAATAATAATCTCTTAATATTTATATAAGGTGGAAAATAACTGAAAATACGGGATTTTCTTTTATATAGCTTTTTAAAATATTCGTTCGTGGGTTTTGCTATATAGTTACCGACGGAAAAATGGTCTAGGCTACCATAACCTGTTAAAACTTAAAAATAAAATGAACCAGTAGAGTTAAGACTAACTTTATTTTGTTCCAAAAGTGAATGAATACAATTAACAGTTCACATTGTACCAATATGAAAATATTTTAGTATATGTCAAATACATGTTTAAATTAAATGCCTATAGTATTCTAATAATATTTTAGGTAAATGTAACTTACTGAGGACTTCTCTGCAGCGAATGGCTTGTGGAGGACTTTTAGCAGCGCTCGCTTTTGCCGTTTCTGCATTTGTCACTATGGCTATTGAAAGTAATGATCCAATATTGCCATCAGCTGGTAACATGCAATTAAGGGTGTACAATCCGTCAAGCTGTAATATGTCTGTTAGCACCGATATAACAGAAATAAAGTCATTTACCTTAAATCCAACATCTTCCTATGTGGATGAGGATATTGCATGGAGTGGAAATAAATCTGTAACATTTACATTTACGTCTAATAAACCTGAATGCTTAGGTGGTGAACAAATGATTTCTCTAGCGGAAAAGAACGCATATGGTATTTTTATCCAAGAAAATGGGACGATCCGCTTTTATGAAGATGATGTTGCTAAGAGCAAAACTGGTTATCCTTTAGTGAGGTGAGTTTATCATAAATATTTATTTTCTTTTGGATTTAATCTTTAACTGGTTATATACAATATAAAAAATTACCTTTATTTTTTGTTACTTTCTCTTTAAAATTTGAACATCATTCCTAACATTTTGAATTAATATTTTGGTGAAAGAAATAGTATTTCCCAAAACAATATAGAAATAATCACAACTAGGACATAGGTAATTAAAGGTATTTACAATTTTGTATAAAAAGTTTTTTATAATATCTAGTCTACTTTATAAAAATGTTCAAAAATCATGATATTGTGATGTTATGAGATGCGTAACTGAATAATGGAGCTACAATATGTAATAGATGTACCCAGTATGCAGATGACTTAAACCTTCCCGCACGTACGAAATTTATTCCCAAAAAGAATAAAGTCCATCCACTGATCTTAGAAGTAACCAAAAATGCACTAAACAACAACAAAGGATCGGGAAAGATGAAAGAAATCAAGCGTGTGAGAAGAAAAGGAAACGTTTGAAAAAATAAATATAGGTTCGCTGTTCCCATTACAGAAAAAGGGAATTACCTTCAATATAACAATTACAAAAGGATTTTCCACCTAAATACAATATATAAATTACCCTCTTACACACTCTCTTACCCTCATTACAGAAGAAATTCTGGGTGACTATCAAAGTAGGTTCAGACTTAGGTAGTACTCACCTAAATCCTATTAAGAGAGATTTAGGGGATTTAATATCAATATCTTCAATCTAATCGTAGCTTTTCTCAGGCAGTTGTTTCTCTTCAATCGCTGTCTCAAGCTCCCGACCTGAACACGAACCTAAAATCTCGGCTGTTTCCCTTTTATCTCAACCAATTTATTTATTGCGTACAAATTATCAATTTGTGGTTTTACAAGTGACTATAGCCGTTATGATATCCAACCTCCGATAGGAGATAGAACTTTAAGAAGAAGAAGAAGATTTTACAAAGATCTGAGACTTTTACAACATCTACATTGAAATCAAGAAGCGTCTATTGTGGTAGACGGCAAAGAAACAGACAAAATTTGTATTCAAAGAGGTGTTAGACAGGGTTGTGTGTTGTCCCTAACTTTGTTTAACGTTTACTCAGAAATAATTTTTAACGAAGCCTTGGAAGCGCAATGTGGAGTTCGAATCGGGGGAGAAACTATTAACAACAGTTATATGCAGATGACACCGCAATCATGGCTAAAAGTATCGAAGATCTCCAATTCTTTATAGATCGGATCACTAGAGAATGTGTATCCTGTATTACTGTATGGATGTGAAACCTGGATTATAAAGCTTAATATGACGAATCTCGAAGCCTTCGAGATATAATCATATCTTAGAATGCTCAGAATATCATGGGTTCAACATATTTCAAACAGAGAAGTCTTGAACAGAGTAGGTCTAGGTGAAGGTGACTTAATAAAGATGATAAAAAAGAGGAAACTCGAATATCTGGGGCATATAATGAGAGGAAGCAGGATACAGACTAATGCAGTTGATACTTAACGAAAAGATCGACGGAAAAAGAGGAATTGGTAGAAAGAAATAGTCATGGCTCCGAAACCTTAGTTAATGGACTGGCTAATCAGCAGATGAATTATTACGTGCCACGCAAGATCGAGAACTATATCGGCAAATCGTCATGGAAGCTACCACCCCTAAAACTTGGGCACGGTACTAAAAGAAAAAGAAGGTTTTACTAACACAAACGTTTTTGAAGTAACTAACATATTATTATAAATATACGTAAGATAAACATAGAAGTTCTATGTAGAAATTTTGTCAATTCTTGTTTATACATCGTAAACTCTTCAGAATGTCCAAAAAATATGTATTTTTTTTCCGGTTATAACTTTATATATTCTATATGACCTATCTAAAAAACGGTTCTGCTAGATGGGTTTATTATACTGTACTCTAAGAATTACTTTTTATTCAAAATAATTTTATATAAAAATGATTTTTTTTTTTTCAGAACTCTATCTTATATTGACACAGATATTAAGTACACCTTAAAAGGAAAATCGATTAATATCAATGCAGGAAACATATCTGCAAGAGAATTTTCCAGTCCTGGTCGTTGGTCAGTAAACGTAGGAGATAAACAATTTGGAAAATCTGTGGACTTGAGACTTGGTGGAACATATGCTGTAATGCTTAATGAGGTAAGTAAATTTAAAATAAATTGTAACGAAAATTAGACCTGGATAGTAAAAAAGAAGGTCCAGAAGTTGGGTACTATGTTGGGTTACGTACAAATTAATCCAAGCTGAAGTTTCGTCTTGGAATTTAAGTTAAAATAAGAATTTTTAATTTAAAGACATTCGCAATCCAAATCGGCTGTCGAGTGTTTTGAGGGACATAACGGCGAGTGTTGGAAAATGAAACAACAGATCTAGATGGGGGATACTAAGTAAAGCAATAAATCATTACAACGGATAGGGAAGTAGATAAAAATCGAAAGTAAATAAATGGAAAAATGGCGCCACCTTCTCTTTTCTCTGATTGACAAGCAAAACTCAAGAATTCTATATATTAGAGGATTCATAAACAAATAAAAAAATAAAAAATAGTAGAAAAATAGTTTTTTTTTCCTAAAACTTTCAAAGCAGAAAGGAGCAATCACACTTACATTATCTGATCTTTAATAAAAATTATTTGCTCTTCAAGAGAAGGTAAATTTAGTGGAAAGACAAAAAGATTACAAAGTTGTTATCTACTAGAGTATGGTATATTAAATTACTACAGTAGATTCGCAATTATGCGAATCCAAACTAACCGAGCCTCTGGAGGTAGTAATTGAAAAGAACAAATGATGTAATAAATTTGCTTGTAGAGCGAAATCAAGTAAAAGCGTGTGCTCTGGCTGTAGATACGCTGAGATATGAGTAACTAGCGAGTATTATTGTTCAAACCACTATGCTTCTACTGGCCGCCTCCTCAGTCACTCCCTCACCCGTCAGTTTGAGTCATCACAGCTATAATATGTAGCTGTTTGGTTCGTCCCACTGTAAGCTCTTACCAGTTCATTTATGTCTTTTCTTTGTGTGGTTTGAGTAGGTATGGCATCCGACAACTAAATATTTCGGGTGAAAACTTTCGGCCGATTTATCTAAAATTGAGCTGTTTAATTTAAAATTAAGAGATCTCGTTTAAGAGCATGGCCTTACATCTTACCAAATCTGTTTGCTTTCAACCCAAACACTGGCAGCCCAAAGTGAAAAAACTGCCTCTGGATACAAAAAATGCAAAGAACGAGTAACTCCCGATGTCCTTCATCTTCAACGTTGGCGCTGCTCCGATGTGTAACTGTTTGAAAATACTTTTTTAAAACATCAAGATGTTGATCCAATACGTAAATGTTTTTCTGTCGCTGACTATTTAACTATCGCGAGTCTACTGTACATGTTTCACAAACAAAAATGTCCATCACAAGTTGATACTTTTAGAACATAAAAATATTATATCTTTCAATGACCTGGTAAAATATTGGATTTTCAAAAACCTGTCAATAAGTTACTTTTAAAATTATAAAAATTAATTGCAATAATAAAGGTTAGATTTATCTTATAATTTAGAAAAAGATTATAAATTGGGTTGTATACAATAATATTCTGTGTTAGTTCTGTTTTCATATTTAACCTAAGTAATGCAGTCTCTATTCCCGGTCAAGTTTCATTAGCATTCAGTAACAATACTAACTCTTTGTTACAGGGTTTGTACATAACCCTGCTTCGGAGGCTAAAATGGTACAATCATAATTTAAAAGCCCAACACCTAACTTTAGCTAAAAATATTTTTAGATATCATCATCATAATTGTCTCAACAATCATTTGTAGATCTTGCTCTGCTCGTAGAGAAGTCGCCACCAGAGTCGATTCCTAGCAACTTCCCTGCATCTTCTGACCCTTATAATGTTAAGTTGTTCTTCCACATTATCAATTCATCTTCTACGCAGTCGTCCCCTACTTCTTTTGTCCTTTGTGTTTAAGAATGCCAATCTCTTGGTCTGTTCATTATCTGATATCCCAGCCTATCTTAGTCTCTGCACCTCAATAGATTTCACGATATCTGAATCTATGTATAGCTGGTATAGTTCAAAGTTACGTATTTCGAAGTATTTTATTTTAGGCTCCAAAAATCTTTTGGGAAAAGTATTTTCAACTCTCGTCATTTTGGGATAAAGACCATGTTTTAGTCCCATATATGAAAACATGTCTTATTAAGGTCTTGTAAATGTTAAGCTTTACTGAACTTTTTAGGTTTTTATTTCTTAGACGTTTTTTAAAGACCATGGAGAGTTCTGTTTGCTATTGCTATGGGTGTTTTTACTTCGTCGCTTTAATAGTTTACCAGCGATTTAAAATATGTGAATTTTTTGACTTTCTTATTTTTGGATATAACACTTTATATAACTTGCGTTAGTTGCTGAAAATGAAGACAATCTTCTGTGATTTGATAAATTGCAGAAATATCATATAGGATATTTAGCCCTAAACCTTGATCTGCTCTTCTACTTAACAAGTTATTAGTGGGCAAGTAAAACTAATGCATTATTTTAAATGAGAGGGTTCATTGTTACTGTAACGATTATTTTGCCTACCATATAGAGTAGAAATTATAAGGGTTGAAAATTGGGGACAGAAATTATTGGAATTGGGGATAGAGCAAGCAAAATAAACAGAAAGTTTTGAGAACGGCTTCTCAGGGTGTATTTGGAGAACTGGATCGTGGATAAGTGAATGGTAAGGGTCTGGGATTGGGGCAACTACAAAAATGAAACAAAGGGGTGCTTACATAAGTGTCATAGACAAACAAAACGAGATGATTCTCAAGCTATTTAAAATAAGGATGCCGCTTTGAAGAATCTCCCTGCTGGATGAAAGAAAAGGCTTTTCCTTCCTAAAAACACAAAAAGGGGTTAGAAACTTTTTTAAATTAAATAAATAAAATGGTTTAGGGAAAAAAATTACACATTTATTGTTATTTTACCACAAACAGATCACTTTTTGTAACCAATTTGCCAGTTAACTCAAACTACACACGCCGTCGTCTGCTCTCAATGACCAATCTTTCAAACCTTACTTAACACTGTAACTACACATTTAACTGCTACTATACACTATACTTCCATGAAGAAAAACGAAAAACTAAAAGCCATTACGAATTTTGAAGAAAAATTCGGACTACAACGAAAACAACTGCCCTTGAAAGCGGCTTTACGGAGAGGGATGTAGTTCTCTTCCCCGCAAAACCTTCTCAGCGACCTAAGTGAATGTTTATTTCAGGCGCAATATTTAAGCGAAAACGATCAAAGAAAATACCACAGAAGCGTCTGTGATATATGAACAAACTGTAAAATGTGTTTATTATCGACTCGAACGATGCAAAAGGATTGAAACAATATTTCGGAGTTTTAACATATACGAGGGGATTTCAATATGTACCAAAGAATTTAAAAATGCTACATTACTGCTATGCATTAGGTGAAGATACGATGCCATGGTCTCGTTTAAACGTACCCTTAGACACCAAGATGATATATTAACCTAATAATCAATTTAGTTGTTGATCATCGTATGATGTATTTTTTTATACAAATATGGTAAAATAAATAATCCATTGAATACTGTTTACTGATTCTAAAATTCTTTTCTTTCAGAAACAAATGGAAATGGATTATACGGTAGTGACAAAACCTAATGCAGTCCATATAGCTTGGTTACTTCCTCAATATTTTATTATAACTGCTGCAGAAATTATGTTTTCCATCACAGGATTAGAGTTTTCTTACTCTCAAGCTCCGGCTTCAATGAAGTCCTTACTGCAAGCTTGCTTTTTATTGACTACTGCATTTGGAAACTTAATCATTGTTATTATAGAATCCATTGAGATTTTCGATAAAAAGGTAGGTTACAGTATTTTTTTTTATTATTGAGTTAATGCCTCGACAAATCAATAATTTTTAAATATTTTATTTTATCTCCCACAATATGACATTGACATTAATACTGTTTACTTTTTCTTATTATTTATAAACTATACATTTCTAAAGAAATTGTAGCTGTTGTGTCGCAATTTTTAAATCTGTTGGCCTTGAGGGATCAATCAACTGGTTTTTTCATTCGGTATATCTACTAATCGGCTTAAATAATCGGCTTAAAGAAATTTTATTGAATAAAAACATAGACAGTAGAGACATTAGAATCATCTGTAACCTCTATTGGAACCAAACAACAAAAGTGAAAGTTGAAAACGAACTGACCGAGGATATCCAGATTCGCCGAGGTGTCCGCCAAGGGTGTATTTTATCACCCTTGTTATTCAATTTATACAGCAGTAAGTCCTCCGATCGCTTCTCCAGGGAGGACAGTTTTAAGTTTACCAAAAGATAATAAATTTAAGTTCAGAAAGAATATTAAGATCTGCACATGGAATGTCAAAATTTTATATAAAGCAGGAAAAATCTACAATGCAACAAAGATAAAGAGAATGCATATTAAAATCATGGGAATAGCAGAAATGAAATGGCCAGATTCTGGAGAAATACAAATAGAAGATCACAAGGAATATTACTCAGGAAAAAGTGATGGATCACATGAATATGGAGTCGGAATAATCGTATCTCATAAAGTTGCCAAATACGTTACTAACTTTACGCCAATATCAGAGAGAGTGATGTTACTACAAGTAGAAGTCAACCCTGTTAATATAAACATCATCCATGTCTATACTCCCACTGCAGACAAAGAGGAGGAAGAAGCAATTGAGTTCTATCATAACATCAACAGTATCATACAGAAAATTCCTCGACAGGAAGTTCTCATCATTATGGGTTAGTTTAATGCCAAGATTGGAGCTGGAGATAAGACACAGTAAATTGGAGCATATGACTTGGAGTCAGAAACGAGCTAGGAGACCTCCTAAAAAAATTCGCAGAAGACTCAGAACTAGTTGTCACCAACACATTCTTCCAATTACAACCCCGCAAGCTGTACACATGGAAATCCTCTCCAGACAGAACCGGGAGAATTATTGAGAATCAAATAGATTACATTTTAGTAAATAAAAGATCCCAAAATAGCTTTACATCTGTCAAGACTTATCCTTTAGCAGACTTGGAGACATACCACGTTCCACTGGTGGGAGTATTACAAGTCAAACTCAAAAGAGTGCAGAAAAGGAAAGCACAATCATACGACCTACGTGTGCTGAAAGACCTTGATACGAAGATGAGAGTCCAAGCCACGTTAAACGAGCAAATGACTGCAATTAGAGACGAATCTAATGAAGAACAAACGATCAAACAAATTACAGAAATAGTGAAAAATGTAAAGAATAAACACTTAAAGACAGATAGATTAATGAAGAAAAAATCATGAATGATAGATGAGATTCTGAAACTAATTGACGAGAGAAGAGAAGCCAAAAATGACCCAGACAAATATAAAACCATAAATATATTAATAAGAACTAACATCAGAGAAGCGAAAGAAAAAGAAGCCCGGGAAAGATTCAGCGAAGAAATTGAGACTCTGCAGTCAAAGTACGATAGTAACAATGTACATAGGAAAGTTAAAGAACTCACAAATATAACTGATTCTGATGGTAACATCATCTTGGACAAACAGAGTAGAATAAGAACATGGAAATAATATCTAAACTAGTTGAAGACCAAATATATAACACCTTTGAGCTAGAAGAAGAGGTAAATGATGGACCAAGAATATTACAGCAGAAACTTTAGTCCGTAATATCACAGTTAAAGGATGGTAAAGCGGCAGGCCCTGGCAATATACAAGCAGAACTACTTAAACTAATGGACAGCGAATCAATAGCAATAATCGCAAAGATATTCAACAACATATACAACTTTGGAGAAATACCAACATAATGGCTGGATCTGAGTTTATTGCACTTTTAAAAAAACCAGGAGCCAAAAAATGCGAAGAATACAATACTAAAAGCCTCATTAGTTATCTCCTAAAATTGTTCCTAAAGATAAATTATAAGAGAATCTACAGCTGTGTGAAAGTCAAACTTCCGCCAACCAGTTCGGGTTCACAAATGCTGTTGGTACTAGAGAGGCTTTGTTTTGCATGCGTGTACACATGTCTGGTTGATTACGACAAAGCGTTTGATCGAGTACAGCACGCCAAGATGATGCAAATACTAAAAGAAACAGGAATTAACAACCAAGATCTGAAAATAATTAGAAATCTTTACTGGAATCAGACAGAAAATCTCAGAGTTGAAGGTGAACTCACTGACTATGTGAAAATCATGCGTGGAGTAAGGCAAGGCTGTATTTTGTCTCCTCTAATCTTAAATCTGTACTCTGAAAGAATATTTATCGAAGCTTTGCACGAAACTAAAAAAGGTATTTTACTAAATGGTTACGGGCTTAATAACATCAGATATGCAGATGACACCATAGTAATTGCGGACAACTTAGAAGACCTGCAAGTTCTTGTGAACGAAATCACGCATTACAGTCAACAATATAAACTCAATATAAACGTTAAAAAGGTAAAGCTTATGATAATTAGCAAGAAAAGGAAAACAGAAGGTCAACTCTACGTCAACCAATCCTCCGTAGAAAGAGTGCACTACAACTACTTCGGCACCATAATAAATAAAGAATCAACCAACAACCAGGAGATTAGAGCACGCATCGGAAAAGCTAGATCCACCTTCAATTGGATGGGGGCCTTTTTCAAGTGTCACAACCTCTCTCTTGATACAAAAGTAAGAATGCTGCGATGCTACGTCTTCTCTGTCCTTTTTTATAGTGTTGAATCGTGGACCTTGAACGAAGATATGTGCAGAAAACTGGAAGCATTTGGATGTGGCTATATTGGAGAATGCTTAAGGTGCCGTGGATTGACCGAATCACAAATGGAGGAGGTACTCAGAAGGATGAATAAGAACTGAGAGGTACTGACCACCATAAAATCTCGAAAGTTACAGTTCTTCGGACATATTGTGCGAAATGAATCCAGATAAACCATCCTGCAAGGAAACATATTTGGAAAACGAGGTCCAGGAAGAAGAACATCTTGGTTAAAGAACCTCAGAATTTGGTTCAATACAACATCGGTGCAGCTTTTCCGCGCTGCTGTAGATAAGATAAAAATTGCCATGATGATCGCCAACATTCGTAACGGATAGGCACATCGAGAAGAAAAAGAATTGTAACGTTATATTTGTTATTAGTTTTATAATGATATTTTGCTTTGCATAAGTGCATAATAGGAGCTCGCGCCTGTCCCTGTATTTGTTTTTTAATAATAATAATACTAATTCCAAATATAACGGATTTTGTCAAAAAAGTTGATCATCCTGTATTATGTGTTTTTAATCATTAAGGTTGATATTTTGACATTTCATTTTTAGAACGATGAACTTTTAAAGAATTCAGCAATCTAATAAACTTTTATATATCACTTTTAAACACTTTTTATTTTTAAGATTTTATGAACACTTTTTAATTTTATTCTTCTATTTTAGAGTAACGACTTTTTCTTATATTGTGGACTGATGGTGGCCGATATGTTGATCTTTTCGTTTATGGCCATGAGGTACAAATATATAAAGAAGGAAGAATCGCCGTCAAGCTCAGAAAACGATCCTATAGAAACTAAAGCAAATTCAACCAATGGTATCGACAATCCATCCTTCGTAAAAAGTTCCAATAATATTAATATTTAAGAAAAATAACTCGAATTTTCAACTATGAAAATTTTATTTATTTGGGGGATGCATTCACAACCAGTGTACTGATTTTTTAATAGTCAAGAATTCAAAATTTAAGAAGCTTAATTTAAACATAAAATTGGAGTGATCTTGTAAGATATGACAGATTATATTAGCTTGTTCTAATTCTAGTATATCATTTAATTTTTCTTGTAATTATACATTTTATATAGATAAGTTACCCTTTTTGACTTTATAATATTAGAATACATTAGTACATATTGTATAAATATCAGTTCACGCTACCCCCGTATTGAAAGAAATAGAGAAATGTAAATATTTTGACTGACCTTATTTATTTCAGATGTATTAAATCTTAAAGTAACGTTAGTGCAAATAAATGACAATCTTTAGAAAATCCAAAATGTTTATTTCTTTTTAAAATGCGTATTTTTGATATTCTTTTAGTACTTCATTTCTGAAAAGACCTTAAAAAACTTTGTATATAGGTTTTTAATAGGTATTTTACTATTCTAGATTAAAAACATTTGTAACTTCTGAGCAAAATCATTATATGTATTAAAGAAAATGTATATATTATAAAATATTTGTTTGAAAAATACATATCATTAGATTTGTACGTACTTTAAAAATGAAATTATTTCAAAATCAAACAGTATTTTGTAAAAAAATTTTGGAAATTTTTAAAGATAAGTTGATTATTAAAGTATTACCGAAGGAAAAATGAGTTTTCGCAGAACTCTAAACAAAATACAAAATATTTTTATATAAAACAGCTGAAATACGTATATATGTATATATACATTGTATATACATCTAATATATATATATATATATATATATATATTATATATATATATATATATATATATATATATTTACGGCATAAAGTGGAGTCCGCCCATGTTAAAATTAAGGTTTAAGTGAGCTCCGTGGTCAAGTGGACACCGATATACGGAGCTCACTTGACCATTCCCTAATATTGGTTCTGTCGATTCGTTAACATACAGCGGTTCATAATTTTTAAAAAAATTTTGGAGCCCATAAATACCCCTGTATGATAAATGTATATCGTGTAGTTCACGTGTATATATTATAGGGGTCGTTCAGGTCTTTTTCACTGTATATTTGAATAATTAGTTTATCGGTTTAAGTAAGCTCTGAGAGTTTGGCAACCGTGCGATTATAGCGTATATTTTCAAAGTTTACCCTGAACGGTTTATATGAGCTCCTTATTTTTATCTACTTTTTGTAGGAAGTGTAATGCCATACGCATTACACTATATAATCAAGGATATCTTATTACCGGGTATTACTACGTGCTAATAGGTACAAGGTACAGGTTATTTAAAAAACAGGTATATAGATACAAAAGGACTTGGGCTTATTATTTAATGGAATGGACACTTGCATAAAAAATTTTATTTTCTCTGCATTTTTAAAAATGTTATTTTTTTACTTAATATAGTTTTATTAGTTCAATGTTGAAGTCTACGTTTTTTTAATTGTAGAAGTTTCGTACTATTTATATTTTTTTACGTGACTTTGCCTTTGTACGTTTTATAGAAGCATCCCAATAATAAAAACTGTTTTTATTTCATCCAATGTTCTGCGATATCTTGTATAAAGTTTTTTTATTATTTTAGTTTTGGTCTTATTTGTACTACATAATATATGATATCTTGATAGAAGGTTATCTCAAAATAAATATGGTTAAGTGATATAGATATATATAATAGATATTTTTGTGTTAAAATGTGTAGTAGTGTACACAAAAAGAAATAATGGTTAATTTGTAGGGCGAAAGGACGTTCGCCTCATTTTTAGCTGACAAATATTATTTCTGACCTCAATTTACCTTTTAGTTTTAAACAATGATCTGTGAATAATCACGTGCAATACAAGCTACTTTCAAGGAATTTATAGATAGTCTACAGTTTAACGATTTCATGACATTATTGGAGGTTTAGTTTTGTGAAAGCGTTTGTGTTAGGGAAATTGAAGGAGCACATATGAGTTTTTCAGGCGTTTTGGCTGAAAATTGATTCATAGTTTATTTTTATTGGGCAATAATAGGTGTATCGTCTGTATATTAGAAGTCCTAGTATCTATAGGTATGGGTTAATCGTTTGTTTATACAATGTAAGTGTCTTTATTCTATCCCAGGCGAGACCGTTCTTCATCTGCTATTCTTACCACCGAGTGATGCGAAAAATATTCTATTGTGTAGGCATACACAGATAATTTTATCGTTTGTTATCTACGGGGATATCATATAGTTTTTCGAGAAATATCCTGTAATTTAAGGTGTGGTAAGCGGAATTTATATTGAAAAATACCACCCCTGATACCCGATATTTTTCGTACCCGTCTTTGCTGTCTTGAGTAAGATTTAGTATTTGTAAAGTACGCGATCTTCCCTATCTATAGCCACTTTCGTCTTATAATTTGAGTTTTTTTTCTAATATCGGTGAAATCATATCATCGTCTCTTGTGCAAAAGTATTTTAAATAGCTGACAAAACAAAGATATTGGCCAATAGTTTTTGTGGTCGTTGGAGTTTTTGCCAGGTTTAAGCAAGGTAACAACTTTGGCTCGTCTCTAGACTTTGCGTATCTGCATAATTTGAATACAGTTGCTCATCATCCGGATAAGCCATTGTAGTGTTTTGGTCCAGATTTCGTAATTAACTGTGTGTTCAGATCCTCAATGCCGGTAGTTGTATTATTTTTCATTTAATATGTAGATGGTGGATCCAATCAAGCTGACTGTTTTTGTCCTTTCTTATTTTAAGTTTTTCTTTGCTTCTTTTACGACAGAGATAGCAGATCTATATCTATAATAAGGTTTTCAGCGATCAGCTTAACACCAAATATCCTAGGTTAGGCCCTATATGTGTTTCCTGCACTAGAAATACGCCAGATTCATGTTTAGCGCATATGTCTGATAAGTTTAAGTCAAGTAAAGTTTCTTTATCTCTAGATATACCCTTAACATATATAGGCATATGTTATTAGAATAGTTGGTAGTAAAAAGAACAAATTTGACAAAATAAATAAGTTTGTGATATCGGTTGCAACTCATACATGTACAGATAGATAATAAGTAAGTATAGATAATAAGAAAATAAACAGCTAAAATAAGTGTAAAAAATTCCAACTACATACACCGGTGCCATTGTTTAAGTGATGGGTTTATCACAGATATCAAAGGTTACATTTTAATTCAAGGTTCCATTTACATATTTTCAACATGAAAAGACATGTTTATGCTTTTATTTTTTTAAATCTATTATTTTCTCTTTCTTGCAGCTATTTTAATGTTCTTTATTAATTGTCTTGTTTCTGCAGTAGGAATATATGTGTACCATGATAGGTTATTGTTTTGTTTAATGTAATTACTCTTTGCTTTTGCCAATTGCTTTCTTACTTCCTCAGCGATTGGTCTTTTTTTTTCTCATCAATAATCTCATCCTCTCTCGATATAGCTATTCTAAGATATTTAGATTTCACTATATGCTCATATCATTTGGTTTTTATCTCAAATTTGGACCTATGATGAAATTTTTATATCTTAAATCTAATGCTTTCATATTAAACTGGAATAAAATACTTAAATACTAGCCAAATTGACATTAATTTTATAGTTTCCATTTTATTAGTACTGATGGTACATGATTAGCATCTGTTGGTACTATATATCAATTTCAACACATGGAAGTGAGAGCAATCTCCTGTTAGTAATTCCAGTGTCAATTATGACAAAACCCTTGATTGGATATTATAGAGTATCCAATATTTCAATCAACGGTATTTCAGAGTGATTTTTTTTTAATTTTTATATATATTTGCAAAATGGAGAAGGAAGTTCAGTACAGAGCCGGTTAAAGAGCTAATCTGTCAATTTAGAAGTAAGAACAAGTACCAACTTGATAAAAAGCACACCCATACACAAAAGGGATGATAAAATGTACTGCACAAACTGTAGTAGTATGAGTTACATATAAGCTATATATTAATAATTAGGATATACAGTATTTTTTCTAATACACCTGGAACGATTGAGTAAATAGGTGAACTATCAAACAGGAGACTATTAGTGTAGAATTAGAAAAACTTAAAAAATCGTTGATCAAATATTCTCTGTTAGGCAGTTAATGAGAAATGTTGGGAATACAGAAAAAACAATAAACCAGTTATTTATAGATTTTAAACAAACACATGATATAATTATAAGAATAAAACTATGAAATACCATGGCAGAACAAGGCTTACCTAAGAAATTAATTAATTTAACAAGGGTGAAGGACGAAAACTGGACAAAAGTGCTTTAAAAAAGGCGAACGAATTAGCGTAACAGCTGTTTTAAAAACTAAACAATATGAGACGAATTGGGGATATTATATTACACAAACTAAACCGCTTGGATACGAAAAATATCAGGAAATAATGATACGACAGAAAAGACTAATGACTTTACAGCTAATTGCTACATAAATAATGCAAATAGATGATTTTGTATATAAGACTAATAATATATTATAAATTATACCTATATAGATACAAATAGTAAAATAAAATACAACTATTATACAATATAGTAAATACTTATTTAGATAAACGTAAAATGTTCCACTGAACGTTAACGATAAATGTTTCAAATAAAGGTTAAAACATGCTTTTCAATTCGCGGTAAAAGACTTAGTAGAGTTCAACACACAAGATAAATTCGTAACAAAATTGATATATCAGTACACGGTACAACAAATATGTAGGTTGTACTTTACCCCATTGGAATCATAGCATCCGCTATGGAAATTGGTATCTTCTTTGACATACAGCAACCACATGTGAAATTACGAAAGATTAATGTTAAATTAGGAAAACTCAATTAACCGTTGATCAAATATTCACTCTTATATACTTAATGAAAAATGTTGGGAATAAAAAAAACATCAAGCTATTTATTTATAAATTTTAAACAAACATTTAAATATGATATAATTATAAGATTCTGAATAAAATGTTATGGAAGAACTAGGCATACCTAAGGAAATTAACTGCCAACTTACTTTTAAATGTACAGTAGCCTCAAACAAGAAGATGCCATGTCACCAATCGTGTTTACCATTGTTTTGGAGAGCATCGCCCGGAAACTCTAATACCGAAAATCTCACAGTTTAATATCAAGGTCCTCACATTATACGGATTTTCGACGATGAGTTTAATATAGTAGGGAGTATAATCATTATTAACAAAAAACATTAATACATTCAATAGGAAAAAGCGCAAAAAGGGTCTTCCAAATCAACGATGATAAAAAATATATGACATCATAAGAGAACTACAAAACAGAACAGGACATAATATTTCATTAGACCAGTACAACTTTGAAATGGTTCATCGGTCTAAATATTTAATATTTAAGAGCACTTTGACAAAAACCTACAGAAGGTGCACCTACGTTTAAGAAAAAATAATCCAAATACACCGCATACAAAATAGATCTACGTATGTAAGTGAAACACGGGCAATGAAAAACAAAATAAGAGCCGATTGAGCGTCGCAGAAAGAAG